GAAAAGTACAGCAGAAGACAGAAGCAAGTGAAGACGTGTAGTTGAAACTCTATGTTCCACTAGGAACCCAAGGGAACATTAATAATGGTAATACTTCCATCCCAGTGACTGAATGATCAACCAGCTCGCCTTGTAACCTGAAGGCCTTTGTTTCAATCCCAAGCAAAGTCACGGGTGCACGCGGCTAAAAATACCAAGTAGGGAAAAAATAACTGTTTCATGCTTCCTGGTTTTCAGTGGTTCTCTGCATGAATTAGGTTTGTGATCAATATTTTTTATTTATGTATGTAACTGTAAGATATAATGAGAAATTCTCCAAAACGCGTATTTGCTTAAATCGTGTTTTCGAAATTTTTAACTTATGCAGTATAACTGTGAAATAGGTATATGAAATAAGTACCCATTCGCAGAAATACCAATTATTCCTTTGAAGGATAGATTAGCTGGAAACATTATCATAATGAGAAATATCTATGACATGATGGATACAGATGAGCACAAAAATACTCAGCCAACTGCAATGTCAACGCTACTCTGAAGTTGTTTCTTCCATTCCTTGAGTTCCAAGAGAAATATTAGGCTTCAAATATTGAAGTTTCAGTAGCGTCGGGGTCTCTTTTTCCCGGGATCAGATTGCCAGCCTCAAATCCATCATTCCTCCTTTTGCATACTTACTACTGTCCAATAAACTAGCTGAGGTTTAGGAGTGTGTCAGCTGGAAATCGAACCCGGATCTCTCACCGGGCTAAACAGCATTTCACCACTGAATCAACTTCAGATCTAATAAAATTGTATTTTTTATAAACACTTCACAGGAATAGCAGAAAATGGACGGATTTCTCTTTGATGTTATCTGTCAGTGTATCTGCCAGTAAACATGTACATAGCAAGCATGTGACATGTATTCAACACCCAATGGTTCATTCGATTTTCAATAATAATATGTCTGCTCAGCTAATGTGACAGAAAGTTAGACGTACATGTCTTGTAACTCCTCACAGTAATCTATGTTGTTGTTTGGTTTCCTGTGATTGTGTCAGTGTGAAATACTATTAAAAATAACTATTACAATAACTCTGAGGCAAGACGACAACATGTTGTGATATATTCTGTTTGATAACAATCTTGTGTTTCATATCAGTTAAGTATTTTGTTATAGACGAAGTTGCTAGTCTGTCACCTGTGTTTATCTAGATTTCACAGTCGAATTTTCTTTCTGATCATATGAGCATATGTTCTTCCAACCCTATATGGAGGGAGAGATTACTCCTACCTATGCATATGTGACTACGCACTCATGTAAATAGGTATGCAGTATGAGAAGTGACTTAATCCCATTTTATTTTGTTTATTAGATATGTAACACAGTGATGAAACAGTATTATTTACTAGATGACAATGTTTCGAACACATGTTTATTGCTGTTCATAATCACATCGCCAATTATAATCACACAACTTCGAAACTTGAGTTTTATAGTTTTCTTTGTTCTCTCCAATTTTTCGTCGTTGGGGTAGCAGAATTTTCCAGACGACTGGATGGATAGGTGTTGAATCACTCCTATTACACGTGTTCGCAGTTGATTCGATAAACAAAGCTTCTGTCATCAATCTTCCCCACTCGCCACTCTGCTACATTAGATTTTAAAACTGTCAGCTTATCCCATCATCCTATTGTATGGCTGTGTTGTGTGTAATTGCATGTAGTGATTGGTATAGCTGAACTATTCTCTAGATTTCTTATCTTATTCGGGTCAACTAATTTAGAGTTTTTTAGGTTTCTGTGCTCCGCTAGTCTATCTAATAAACAAACTAATATGGAATTGAGAGTATTTTGTTGTATACACGTGTATTAAAAGAAAGATTTTCTGAAATATTCTGTGTTTATCGTTGTGTGATCATTAAGTGACGTAATCACTTAATAATAATAATAGTAATAATAATTTGATTTGTTCCAAAACAGTACTTGTGATACAGAAAGGAATTCTCAGCATTTTTACTACAGTATTGCATCCAGTTAGTACATTATCAATAAATAGAATTCTACATAGATTAAGGGCAATCTCGGTTAGTTTTGACAACAACATATTGGCATGGCGGTAGCAAAGCCAAAGTTGAACAGTGTTTGAAGGTGTTAGAAAAGTACGTGCTGTCATATTTACTGGCGGAAGCAGAAGAAAGAAACAAAGTAGCACATAACGGGAAAAAAGAAAGAGAGAAAAGAAAGAGAAAGAAAGAAAATGTTGTACCTTTAAATGATATGAGTTGGAAAAACGAGGTCCAGTTGTACTACTGACTATTTAATGAATTGTAGGTGTCACGCCTAATGCTTTCTTTATCGCACAGAACACGAGCTAAGTAGGGTATGGCTGAGTTTTTGTACTTGCTGGTGCGAGCATATAGTTTTCTATAAAGGCTGCTGGTTTTGCCTGATGAGATGCAAGGGGAGAGTTGTGAATGAAGAGGGTGGTGTGAGTTAGATAAAATGGACTTGGCCCATTTTTCACATGAGTCCAAGTGCCTGTCAACCAGAATATTAACAAGCTGGATAAGTTGCACGTTGCTTACCCTGCTGACAACCTTTAACATCCTGCGTAATATGTTATACAATGTTGAAGCTTGTGCTACAGTATTCTGGATTATAAAAGTGAATTCATAGTGTGGATGGTTTCAAAACATTCGAAAAAAAAGTAACATTGCATCTAGTAATACTTAGCAGCACAAACGTCACTGATAAAGAAGAGTTGAATTCTCTGAATCTCATGGGATCTGACTTTCCAAAACTTTGCAGATTATCTACAATTCATAAAAATGATAATCCATTACATCCAATTTTATCAATGTGTCATTCTGTGTCACATATTAAACCCTGTACACAATACATTATGCAAGGTCTCATTGTGAGATACATTCGAACTTGTTGACTGTTATGTAGACATGAATATGAAAGCTAAGGAAATGTAGTCTTTTGATATCAATTCTTGTTTTACTAATTTACCCTTAATTAAGACTGTTGATATTCATGATTAGATATCTCCTAATTGGGTTTTTTTATTTCCCATTTCTCTAACATATTTGAAGTATCCATTATTATGATTATTATTCTCCACTACTAGAGAAGGTGTGGAAAAGAGGCAAAATACCTGGGGATTGGAAGAAAGGATACTTATTCGAACTACCAAAGAAAGGAGACCCAAGTTAATGCAAGAACTGTCGTGGAATTATGCTCCTGTCCATCCCAAGCAAAATACTAAGCCGCATCATACTGGAGAGAATCTTACATGCCCTGGATGAAAAACTTCGACCGGAACAAGCTGGATTCAGGAGAAACAAGTCATGTATTGATCAAATCGCCGCACTACGGATCATCATTGAACAAAGCTTGGAATGGCAGTCACCTCTCTATCTCAACTTCATCGACTTTGAAAAGGCCTTCGACAGCGTCAGTTGAGAGGTGATTTGGAAACTACTTCGCTACTACGGGGTGCCGCCGACAATTATACATCTCATCCAACAGTTGTACGACAATGCTGCATGCCAAGTAATCCACAACGAGAAGCTCACGGAATCCTTCGAAGTGAACACAGGAGTAAGACAAGGCTGCCTACTATCACCAATGATTTTCTTGATTGCAGTAGATTGGATAATGCGACAAACAGTGGGCAATGAGGAAACAGGCATAAAATGGACTCACACAAAGAACTTGGAGGATCTGGACTTCGCCGATGATATATGTCTGATTTCCCACAAACTGGAAGATATGCAAGCGAAAAGCAACTAGTTGGCAGAAGAAACATCCAGAGAAGATAGGAATTCAGGTGAACATAGAGAAAACAGAGATAATGAAGATTCCTGGACAACACCACCAACAGCAGTAACAACAACAGACAACAATCAGCATAAATACGAGGAACCTGAAAGAAACAACCTCCTTCACTTACCTACCTGGGAAGCATCGTCTCAACTACAGGCCAACGGAACTGACGAGGATATCAAATCAAGAATCGGAAAAGCAAGACAAGCTTTTACTACTCTAAAGTCTGTGTGGAGGTCAACAGCACTCACCATCAAAAATAAGATCCGGATTTTCAACTCCAATGTGAAGTCAGTCAGCGCTACTATACGGATCAGAGACTTGCACTGCACGTCATAAAGAGCATCTCAAACAAACCACAGACCTTCATTAACAGTTGTCTTCGCTCAATACTCGAGATCAGATGGCCGACCAGAAAAGATCAGCAACAGGGAGGGATCTCTGGGAGCGAACCAACCAGGAACCGATTGTGAAACAAATAGGCAGGAAGAAATGGAGATGGATTGGCCATACTCTGAGGAAACAATGCATCAAGTGACATCACTAGACAAGCCATTGTTCGAGTGAAACCCGAAAGGGGATCGGCGAATCGGTCGTCAGTGCAAGGGTGACTTGGAGGAGGTCACGTGAAGAGGAGATGAAAACATGTGAGCAGACTTGGAGCCAGGTCAAGACTCTAGCAGAGAACAGAACGCAATGGAGACGCACAGCTGAAGCCCTATGTTCCTCTAGGAATTAAAGGAAACAATAATAGTAATATTATTATTATTACCTACTCAAAATGTCTATCTCATATTTGAAGGTGACCACTTTCGACAACTGGATGGCACTGCAAAGAGGAGCCCATTAGTATTATTGTTGGTTGATGTGTATATGTGTCACACTGAAAATCTGTCCAATGATTTGATTGCCAAGGTGCCTTTCCATAGGAAGTACGTTGATAATATTATGGCAATATGCAATAACAACATAAGAATTATATGTGAAGAAGAAGAAAGTTGCAGTCAACTTACATTTGTAGACATACTTTTCAGTGGGACATAGGAAGACTCAACAGAGCAATAGATCTATAGAAATCCTACTTGAACAAGGCAGTATTTAGAAATCTTGTTATTCCTTTTGTCTAATTTAAATTTATTGCATTCTTTAGATGAATTTCATTAATTAAACACTATATCCAAACATTCTTAAAGACGGACAAGCATAGTCATAGCAATTTTAATGTCTAGTCTAACTGTGTCAAGCTGAAAACTTCAAAAGAAATATAAATTCATCTGAGATTGGTTGGAGGATTTCATCATGAGCTGACATCGGTTACAGGACTGGACAGCTGTTTCCTGCGCCCAAGTTTGGGGCTCTCCAGCAGTATACACCCACCGGAGTTCGAACCCAGGATCTTCCTGTTACAAGGTGAGCCAGTAGACCAGTCAAGCACTGGGACCTGATCCAATGGCGAGCCCACGAACTTTAACTTTTGCCAATTCACGACCAAGAGCGACCACTTCACAATGTCTCCGGCGGGTGCGTACAACTGAAGAGTCCCAAACTAGGACGAAACAGCTGTCCAGTACTCTCAGATTTCCCGATGGTTCTCTAAATGATGAAATCCTCCATCCAGTCAAACAAAAATTCTCTACAAAACTAATACCTTAAAATTCATCTGAGACCATTGAAAGTTGCTAGGAAAACATTGGAAAAAATCTTTTGTCCAGTTCCTCTTTCAGGCTAACAATTCTTTTAAATCAAATTCAATGTAAAACTGAAATATTTGCGTAAGCCAATTTGAATTTAACTGCTCAGCCAAATAGTTGTCTTTATCTTAAATGGTAATTTACCCAACCATAAAGAAACAAAAAAAATAGAGAGCAGAATTCGACTTCCCGTTGTGTTAATGGATCTAAATGCAGATAACTTACGACAACGACAAAGAAAAAACATACTTTTACGTATTTAGAAACAAACATATAACTAGTCCATTCTTAAGTGATATTTTATGTTATTTCCATTCATTTCTAAACTGATTGACCTTCATGGTTAATTCCTGCTGAATTATCTTTCTAGTTTTTTTGTTTTTTAAATCGCTCACTTTTCAGAAATTATTTGAATTTGTGTTTTTACACACTTTGGAAAGTTGTACTGCAAAAATTTAAATGGAGTGATACAACTGCAGACAATTATCATAAGTTAACGAGAGGTTTCAATATTGATGAATACTGAATTGTTTGTTTATTCGAACTAGTCTCCGTTTAGCGGAAGGGCAAAGTTAAACTTTCAGCACCATAACTCATCATCATCATCAGTCCCTTTACTTTCGTCGTGGGGGTGCTATGACAGTTCGCGCTATCAGTCTTCGCCATTCTTCTCGGTTTAATGCTATTTTCTGTAGCGTATCCAAGGGCATTTCAGTCCACTCTTTTATGTTGTCAAGCCAGCTCTTATTCGGTCGACCTCTCTTTCGTGCTCCTCCTACTGTGCCTTGTAGAATCGTTTTGGACAATGTGTCATGTCTTACCGTGTGGCCGAACCATTGTAGTTTCCGTTTCTTTACGATTGAAAGGAGTGGTTCCTGTTTTCCTGCCAGTTTATGGACCTGGTGTAAGACATATTCATTAGTTTTCCTTTCAAGGTAACTTATTCCTAGGATCCTTCTATGGCTTTTGTTTTCGAAGGCTTGTATTCTTCTTTCTGTCTCTGCATTCAGGGTCCAGCTCTCACATCCATATAGGAATACAGAGAGGACCAGTGACGAGTAGAGTTTCATGTTTGCTGAGACGCTGATGTTGCTCTTCCATATTTTCCCTAACTTGGACATGGTGGCAGAGGCTAGGTTTAGTCGAATTTTTATTTCCTTAGTGGACCTTCCATCTTTTGTTAGGGTAGACCCAAGGTATTTGAAAGTTTCAACCTCTTCTAATACATGTCCATCAAGTCTGATACATCTATCTGAGTTGTTTCCTCCGTTAATGAGTATTTTGCTTTTTTCTGTGCTGATTTCCATGCCCACAGATTTGGTTGCAACATCAAGTCTTGAGGTGAGGTCCTGAACTTGATCAATGTTTTCCCCAATGAGGGCTATATCATCAGCAAATCTGGGGTTGGAAATTGGTCTTCCGTTTATGCTAAGTGTCGGTGTAAAGTCATGTAGGGTTTGTGTCATAATATGTTCGAGGAATAAATTAAAGAGGACTGGTGAGAGAATGCACCCTTGGCGTACTCCTATAGTTGTTCTGAAGAACTCGCCAGTTTGATTATTTAGAGATACCGCACTACTAGATTTGT